AGCAGTAAAACCCTAATTCAACAGTTGAGCAGCTTTGACAGGAATATGTATCATCTTTATCAATCTTTAATGCAATGATTTTCATCTTCAATGAACTTCTTTCTTCAAGGCAAGCACTCCAGAAGAGAATCACTTAACAGAATAAGTTGAATGCTAAACAGCTTATTGACAACCAAAGGAAGCCTATAAGTGTTTAACATAATGAGAGACAGGTTCCCTCAAAGTTCTACTTCTAAAATAAGCCACTTATCCCTCCAAAGGAGGGATGTGAATATCTTAGAAGAACTTTTTGTCATAGGGAGGAATAGAAGCACAAGATGCTTTCTATGTTTGTAAGAAGAAATCATTCTAATCTAAAGCTCTGCCTATGTCTCCTATTTTCTATGTCTTCAAAAACCATCTTCAAGCAAAAGAATCCCCAATCTCCAAGCATCCTTATTGGTCTTCAATCTTCTTCAATCTTCATCTCCAAGCTTTAGCAAGCACACTCCAAGAAGAGATTTGTCATCAAGATCAAGTTGCAATGTTGGCATACTTGCTGAAAACCAAAGGAATTCAACAAGAACCAACATCGAAGTGGAAGTGTATCCTCAAAAGTTCTACTCTCTAGGGTATGCCCCACTTCCCTCCTAAGGAGAGATGGAACATCCCTAAGAGGACTTTGCATCATAGGATAGAATAGAAGCAAACAATGCATTCTATGTTTGATGGAAGAAATGAACTAATTCTACAAAAGCTCTCCCTAAAAGCCTAATTCTACCAACTCCTAAAACAAACTTAAAAGAGAAAGAAAGCTCCACTCCAAGCCCCACTCTTCAAGCCAAAGCATCGTCATCATGTCCAGAAGCTCCTCTAAAAAGGAATCCAAAGTCTTCAAGCTCTAAGTCCACCAAACGCTCCAAACAAGGCAAAGCACTTAAGAGAGAACACCGAAAGCAACAATCATTTGCAAAACCCAAAAAATTAGCAAACTAAATTCTAGAATTCTAATAAAATTCCTATGTGAACATGCATGTTTGAAAATTCTAACATTCCAGAATCAGGACCTAAATAAATTTCTAGGTCATCTAAACAATTACTAAATGAAATTTGGTCATGGGAAACCATTATTTGGGAAGGCTCTAAACTACACGCCTAAAACAGAATCTAATCAATTTTAAAAATTCTAAGAAAATTCCTGGGGAAACCTATAGATGTCCTCTAATTCATATCGAAAGAATCAGCTCAAAATCATAAAGCATCAAAGAGAACACAATCAAACAAACATCAATATCAATTATGCATAACAATGGATATTAGCACAAAAGAAACTCGTAACTAATTCAAATAAAATCCTAAAAATGCAAACTCAACTCCTACAGTTTCTTAAGACAATCATGATCTACAGAAAAAAATTTCATAACTTTTCGATCATTTTTACTATTTTTAACGCAATTAATCCAAACAGCTATTAAAACAGAAAAAAAGGAATGAAAATGAATTAAATTAAATTTCACATACCGGCTTCGGAGCGTCGAAACGGAGTAGTTGGAGCTCGTTTTTCTTGCCAAAAAGTGTGGAAAACCTTTGTTGAAGTTTGTTAGAGAAGATTAAATTCTTGATAACTCTTGAAAATGCTTTGATCTCTCACTTTTTCTCTTTCAAACTCCAATGTCAATCCATAGTTTTTGCACAAATGAATCACCAACCCTTGCTTTGAACCTCTTCACAAGTATATATAGAATGTATTTGAAGACCCTAGAAAGTTCTAGATTGATCCAAGGAGAAAGTATTTGAAGACCCTAGAAAGTTCTAGATTGATCCAAGGAGAATGTATTTGAAGACCCTAGAAAGTTCTAGATTGATCCAAGGAGAAAATCAAATTCTCATGTCATGAAAATCTCTTCTTATGCTATGCACATACCATCTCATGTTTTTGGCATGCAATTAACTTGGTTATGAGTTTAAATTCTCTCCAAATGAGATATTGGAGGTGTATGGATGGAAAAGAGCCTTGCATTTGCTTGGAAGTGTGGTTTTGCAATTGTGCCTTATGGTTCAAGTAACCAATTTACAAAGCAAGTCCTTGAAATAACCCTCAATTCAAAATTGTGGCAATGCCATTGTCTTTAAAATTCATTTTACAATCAAATTGGTATGTCATATGGCTTGTTTGTGACCTCTAACCCAAAAATTGATTTTTTCCACCAAACTTTATTTGACTTATTCCCTTTTTTTAGGCCATTTTAAGTGACTTTTTGAAATAAGCCGATCAATCCACCATGATGACTTAATTGACCTAAAAACATCATTTTAAGCACATTTCATGTTGAACAATTTTCCATTTGAGAAGTGGAACATGGAGATTTTGACCTATGCTAAAAAATGACCTGTAATTCAACTTTCCCAAAATACCCCTGGATTGCCAAGACCATAACTTGAGTTCTACAAATCATCTTGAGGACTTCTAGTACTCAAATTAAATCTAAGATCAAGATCTACAACTCTTATGTTGGCCAAGAATCCATTCGAAAACTCCTTGATGGGGAAAAGTTGCTTGGAAGTCAAGTGACGTTCACAGATAAATTTCAGTATCCTCTAGGAACCCATAACTTGGAAGAACCATAACTTGAGTTCTATAAATCTCCTAGAAGACTTATAGTACTCAAATTAAAGCTATTGAGATGTTCTACAAGTTTAATGTTGACCAAGACTTCATTTGAAACTTGCATTTTGACTTATCTGGCTTGGAAGTTAGGCCTAAATTAGGGGATTTTACACTGAAACCCTAATTTAGTAACTCCTCTTCTTCTTGATTCCTTTTGATTTCTCCTTGTCACGACACCACACATGTATCCACATATTAATTCATGAATCCCATATCCTTCAACCAAGCCTTGATGCTCTTTAATCAATCATTTGACCTAGGGTTGACCCAGATGAAACCCTAGTTGACTGCATTCAACTGTAGCTCTGGTACTTGTATTAATGATTTCTCTCATCTTTAAAATGACCCTCTAGGTCTTCCATGATCTTTGTACACCTTCCATGGCTCACACACTCATTGATGATCTTCAACATATCCCCCAGATTGGGAGAGAAATCCACTGGTTGATCTTCAAACTTCTCAAAGCTTCAACTCATTTCTTGATTACTTGGATGGTCTTGATCTTGAATAAAACCCCTTGATGGGCCTCTTTCTGATGAAAATGGCACTTGATCCCTTGTTAGATGCCTTGTTATGCTATGTTATGCAAATGATTAGAATATGTACATGACTTAGTATGCAAATGACAATGCAATTGAAACATAAACTAAGTGAAATAGGTGGAGCAAATTTTGGGGTGCAACAATAGTCATTGTATCTTCTATTGTATTGTGTTGATTAAGTAGCATGGGTAGCATGAGTAGGATCAATACGATATTGTGCGGGTGCGTGATAATAGTGATGAAGAACGATGTTCGCATACATTTGGAAGATTAGATGAATACATGTAAAAAGGGTTAAACGTATGTACATATTCTGATCATTGTGTTTTATATGAAACAATCGTTTATCTGATATGGGTGTCGTCTTTGCTTACCTGTTTATCTTTGATTTGAATTGCTATAGACATGTACTCTTCAGATCTGGATCTAGGATGATTACCTGTTAGGTCCTAAACTCTAGACATAGATTTAGGCTTAGCATTTGCGTGAGTATCAGTTCTTAATGCTCTATGTTGTGTTTTTGTTGCGTGAGACATCACAAATGAGACAACACGGTTGTTCTCTCGACGTTGTGTTAGAGATGACCTCTGCCGTGGGTGATACGTGAGTTTATTAGACGAATGATTGAGTTGTGTTAAACATGATCAGAAGAATGCATGTGTTATCAATTGATGAGATCCAATCCCAACAAGACTCCGTTTATATTTTAGTCTTTACTTTATATTTTCTGCCTTTTATTCATGATTCCTTGAACCTTTTAAACCAAACCTTTTGAACAAAAAGTTTAGAAATGTAGAGACCGTTGAACGGCGTTCTTTCATCGCACCGATCCCTATGAAGACGACAAAACTGAATACTTAATATTTTTGCTTGCTGCTTTACCGCTTCAACAAGGAGCTCGCCCAACGTTAATTTAACTGATTCTCTGTCGCTTTTGATTCTTTGTCGCTTTTTCATGGAATATCCATGACCACCAAAGTTATTCTAATCCTATTTAAAGGACAAAATAGTCAAATAAATGCCAACATGAAATCTCATCAATTACCTTCTTGTGATGACCGCCTAGACCTTATCACTCCCTACCAACGAATAATTTTATTTTTTAGAGAATATTTCTTTCTTTCGATCAATGAAAATATACCCCATATTTATTCTTGAACTATCATGTCTGACTAGGAAACTATCCATAACACGACCCACCCACGCATTGTCCGCATGAATCAATTATTGCCACCTAACTCTACACTCGCATTTTAATGAAAATACATGTAATTCCCCCCTTCAAAACCATCTATTAAAATCCAAACTCCAATTAAAATTCTGTAAAGGCAAAATAGAAAATACAACTATGAGTTACAAGACATCATTGCCCCCATGCAGGCCCCATACCTCTCTGCTTTACTAAAAACTTAAGTATATACACAACATTGTTTTGAGGGCGCCCCATACAAATCACTCCACATAGTTCAAAATTCGTCGTGTCACATGAGTTATCGTACAAATTTTACCGTGACATTAAATAGATAAATCATAATTAAATATATATTCTATTTATTTTATCATGGTTAAATTCCGGCTAACAACGCTGATAGAGACATTTATGTAAATATATATATATATATATATATATATATATATATATATATATATATATATATATATATATATATATATATATATATATATATATATATATATATATATATATATATATAGCAAAAGTTGAAACTCTAGAATGTCTACATAAAGGAGCCTATATTTATGAGCAAAAGGATAGAGCAAACATATATAGGAAACTTTAAGCAAGTGAAATGAGAGGCACGAAGGGTTATGAGCCACGTTCAAGCTCATCTTGTGCAGCTTGCAAATTACTAAAAAGAAGATGCACACCAAATTGCCTATTTGCACCCTACTTCCATTCTAACGAGTGCAAGAAATTCGCCAAAGTCCACAAAGTATTTGGAGCAAGCAATGTTAGCAAAATACTCATAGAAGTCCCAGAAAAACAGCGAGAAGACACAGTGAATTCTTTGGCTTATGAAGCAGAAGCAAGACTTCGAGACCCGGTTTATGGATGCATTGGTGCCATAGCTTTGTTGCAGAGAAAGATGATGGAACTTCAACATGATCTGGACATTGCTAAAGGTCGTCTTGCTCACTGTCGCGCTCTTGCTGCCACTGCTACAACCACCGCGACGATTACTCCGGTTGATAGTGTTACCTTGCCTCCGTTTCCTGAGTTTTCAACTTCTAATGATCTCAGTGATATCTTCTGTCATGGCTCTTCTTCTCAATTATCGACCCGGCTTGAAACCGTCGACGATTTTAATCAAATTCCATATATATTTTGATCTTATGGTCCTTTTTTTAATGTAAGTGAAGTGTTATGTATATTCTATAAATAAGAACTTCATGATTAGGAATGAAGTAAATACATGTATTATTATTGTGTGTTGATAATTGTTATAACTTATAAGAGATAAGGATTGGTTTCTTGGCCTTTTATGCAAATTCTGATAATCTGAGACCACTTTTGTTTGGTTTGATTATAGCAAAGACAAGATTTTCCAGGACTTGTGATGCAAAAAAAAAAAACTTCTCAAGTGTGAATTGAATTCGTTCTAGTGTTGATGATGGAGACCAGTGCATTGATTGGCACTACCTATAAGTGTGAGACACCATTGCGCACAAAGAAAGCAACATAACACTACTATAGTTGATTTTTGCACGATTGCTGCACAAAATAGTGGGTCCATTAACTGTACTGTTTCAATGCAACATGGAGTATCCATTATGATTTTTCTTTCAAGTAACCAACCCCACCAATGGCCCTTGGGATTTATTATCACTATGGGAATCCAAAGAGTAACGCCAACTCACCGAAAGTTCTTTTAGTTTCTTTGGGATATGTATATTTCAGATGGTAACATGATATATAATGTGACCCAACAGAAAATGCCAACCGTTCAATTAAGCTGAGATTCATTATCTTCCACAAGGTCATAATCACAGTTCACATGAAGTCGTATTTTGTTATTGGCCAGATATTTCATTAATGTTTTGTTCCTTTCTGGAACAAGAGTTGTTTGATCAATGGGTAAAGTAGTGCTTGTGTTGGTGCGGTTAAGCGGTAAGAAATAAAAGTTTTTGAAAGTATTTATCCGGAAAAGTTTTTGAAAGTAATTTATCCGGTTAAGCGGTAAAATTATCGTGTTCACGGGGGGAATGAAACGATCGAAGAAACCTCAAAAGGGGAGAAGACATGGTCTGAAAACCAAATCCTGAGTTCGAGAGTCGATTACGCGAGAGGAAGTTATTACCACCCCCTCGTGACTGTTGTACTCAACGAGATCCATTCTTGTTGTTCTAATCAAAGGGTGTGTATATCTAAAGCCTACTTGCTAACGTGAACATAAAGGAAAAAAAGACAAAATAAGACTCGATAGGACTTCGCCTTCCTAGACCTACGTATTTCCTCGTGCAATGAGAAAGTCAGAGTCAACGTAGTTCGGAAGACTACGGGTGAAAAGGAGAAGGTTGCTCGCCAAGAATGAGGAAATCAGAGCATTCTTCTATCAATGTCGTTTTGTGCCTACGTATCCTCGTTCAGACGAGAATGAGGAAATCAAAGCATTCGTAGTTCGGTCTACGAATTGTTAAGTATTTTTTATGAGCAATGCTAAGTTTACGTTCCAGCAGCTATGGTTAATGCCTGTTTGCGGTAGAATGGAAATAACATGCACATTCTGAAAAAAGGTTTGACAAACAATCCCGAAGGATAAAATGATTTGAATTTGTTTGAAGAGTTTTAACAAAAGTGAATTGAATTTGTTTGAGATTTGTATTGCACTAAAGTCTATGACATAGGAGCGAATGCGTCGCAAGATCTCCCCCAAACGGGACGTATGCTAAACACTCTAGAAGAAGTAAAGAGAGACTCCTCACTCATCATTTCTCATATACTTAAGGCTCGTGGCGCACAATACTCTTCGTATTTGTTAAGTGTTTTAATTTGATTCAAGAGAAAGAAGAAAGGAAGACGCACAGAAGGTCTAAGGAAAAACCTCGGTCCTAATATTGTCATACAAAGTGGTCCTAAAGTTGGGATGAGAAAGGAAATTCTATCCTAATGTTAGCATGCAAAAGTGGGCCTAAGATTGAGGTTAGGGAGATTATCCTAATGTTGTCATGTAAAGGAATGAGAGCCTAATGTCTATCCTACTCCAAGCTTAATTTAAAAAATAAAATCGGACTAGGAGGCGTTAAGGGAACATGCAAGAACAAAACAAAACAAAGAAAATAAACAAAAAAATAGCAGCTACAACAGCGCCTAAGCACAACACAACAATAAATTCTAGTAAACAAGCAAGACAACATTTAACAACATGTATTTTCAGGACAAAACATGTATAAAAAGCAGCAAGACAAGCAAGACAACATTTAACAGCGTGTATTTTCAGGACAAAACACCTGTAAAAGCATGGGCAACATGTATGCATTCAATAATGAAGTAATTAAACATGAGCATGAACATGCATCAAGAATGCAACACCCAACAATGTGCACAGATAAGTATCAACATCAAACATCTTGAATATTCAACACTAACAAGCAATTGTCAAAAGATCGAACACTTAGTGTGCACATATATTCACAATGCAACAATAGAACATGCTTCAAGAATTTTCATCCATCAACAATGTGTACAAGCATGAATCAACATTTAATATTCATGAAAGCACAACAAAAAATAACAAATATCGACATGTTATCACTTAAGTAAAGATCAAGAATACAATCAATGATCATGTTATCAAATAGGCAAAGTATATGAACATGTGACAAAAGAATAAACAATCGTGATGAGCATATATCAATAATCAATAATGCATTTAAGCATACTTCAATACACATCATGAATAGGCAAGCATCCATAAGCAATTGTCAACATGTAAACAAGTATGCATCATGAGCATGTTTCAACAATATTGCACAATTAAGAATTCAACAAGAACAACAAGATTGCACAAGTAGGTATGCCTCAAGAACAACATGAATGTTCAACTACAACTAAGCATTTAAAACATCGAGCACACAAACATGAGCATGTACTATGTGTTCTAGCCAAAAATGTTAGATACACCAAAAGTGCTAATTCCCCTTATCCTGGAGAAGAAGAACTATTTTGTCTATATTGTGAGGGATATTTGGGGATTTGAGAGCTACACTTGTACTGTGTATTGTCTTAAGATGATTATGTCTTGCTTAACCCTCATGTGGGAGCCCCTTTTATAGTCTTCCATTAAGATATGTCATTAAGAGAGGTCTCTTGGCGTTCTGACATTACATGGCCATCATTGCTATAACTCCCCTTTATGAATGTAGGCTTTGAAGATCTGGTAGTGTCCGCATTGATGCGCCGCTGCCGTTACAACTGTTGGTATGCCCATTGAGCTCATGTCTGGCATAAGTACCGAGTTAATGGGGTCTGTACTCGACTTCCTAGGAGCTCGACTGATGGGAGTTGAGTTATGTGACCGGTATGGGTTATAGGAGATACTTGCCTAGCCCTCTGCATTGTGCGATCTTTCTTGTTGTCGTAGTCTAGTTCATGCTTAACCTTGTCTGGCTACACAACTCGGCTTAAAATATATTTGGCATGTACATTATGAATCAAGAAAAGTAAGCATCAAGAGAAAATAACCATCAATGTGCAAATGATTATGCAACATGAATAATGCATCAAGCATGCAAAAGAAATAAGTCATGAACATGCATCATGAAATCAACGTGTCATGTGTTGAAGAATCGCATACGTACTACAAAGTGAGGTTAAACAACCCTAGAAAATTCCACAAATACAAAACATATCAAGCCATGAGGTTTAGAGGTGGAATAGGTATCAAGAGAAACATGAAAATAAGCCAAAATACACCACACAACAGGTGCAAATCGATTTTCAAAAGATGCAAATTGATTGCACAACTCCTTAATTAATTTCTAGGCAATTCAAATAGATGCAAATCGATTGCATCAACAAAAATCACTTTTAAGAATCACTTTTTCAACAGCAACTCAAGGTTCAAATGCAACATGTAATAGCATGTAATTATGCATGAAATTCACATCAGTTCACATTAAATGAACAAACATTGAATCAAACAAACATTAACAACATCAACAATTGAAACAATGGATCAATTCACACCAAAATCACATAGATCTACATTATGAAAGTTGTAAAATAAGCTAAAATGAGTTTACATCTAAGAATTACCAACCTACAAAGCAGAGATTTGCTTTGGTAAGTGTTGTAAACAAAATTTAACAGATCAAGCAAATAAAATCCAAGATCCAAGGAGCTCCTAGCAAGAAAATTGAAGATCCGTGTGAAAACGAACGAAGTCGAAATTACATCTGTAATCACTTCAAGAAAATGCTTCAAAATTTTAGATCTAGATCCAAATAAGCTTAAACTCAGAATTAAACAATGAAAGATGATGTAATGGAGGTTTAGCTCATGAATTCACAAATTGAAATACACAATTTGTGAAGCTTTTGGTTATGGAGCTTTGGTGAGGGTTTTGAAAGGAGAGAAAAAGTAAGAGCAAAGAGAGGAATGAGAGAGTGAGAGTGTGAAGTGTAGAAAAATCAGAAAATGAAGTGTAGTTGTGTGAGGTTTGGAGCAAATTGGCTTAAATAAGCTCTAGGTTTGGAATGAAAGTGAGGTTTAGAGTGCGGGTTTGAATTTGGAATAGAATTATGGTTTGGAATTAGGAATGGAAACCATTTAAATTTTGGAGGGAAAGTGAAGTGAATTTGGAAATGAACTGATATCTTAAAGCATTCTAGATCCTTTTACTGATATAGCATTGATCCCAAGTGAATGTGGTGTATTGCAAACTGATGTAGTGCTGAAAAATGAAGGTTTTGGTCTAAGCTGTCACAGAGCAATCGACTGCACAACAATTATCGATTTGCACTGTCCCACAAGGAAAAAATGAAGTATCCTGAAGGGGTGAAATCGATTGCACACTTATGCAAATCGATTGCACCAAGGCAAAAGGGTAAAAATTACCTCGTTGCAACTTGTTTTGAGTCTTAGCCATTAATAATACCCTTGAATGATGCCTGAAACTTGACAGGGGACCTGTCTAGAACAAGATCAAATGAACCGTGTTTTCTGCTATTGATTCTGAAATAATCAAACCATCTGCTGAGCAAAATAAATGCCTAAAGATGTCTCTGATGACTGTCTGCTTAGCTCTAAATGCTACTGAAATAAACTCTAAAATAAGAAAGGCTTTGAGCTACAAGGCCCTGATCCCATGTCTTGTAACCAATGCAATGG